CCGATAGTGTTATGGCCAAAACAGATTTCATAAATGTTAGAGATCCCTGAGCAGTTACTTTTCATTGCTAGTTTAATAGCGGGCTGTATATTATGTTTATATTTCTAGAAAACGCAGAAGTTGGGCTGTGTGCCAGATTCTTGTTTGCTCTCTTTTCCTCACTTAAGACTGCAGTCTGAATGTCAAACCACACACCAGCCCGCACCTACCAGCAGCAGAGCATCCTCTAGCGCCAGGACCACCTGGGATGTCATACAAGCTGATTCCCCGGCATCACCCCCACCTCCCCAGGCTCTGAGTACAGGGGTGGGGGTTTAACAAGCACCAGGGGTTTCCATACAGGCGACCTACAGGCCACCCTTGGAAGTACACACTGCGTTCTCAGGACACCTTACAGGATGTGCAACCTCCACAGGACAACAGAAGGCGCGCCCAGCCACCGGCACAGCCCTAGCTTGGCCTCGCCTGACCCTGCACCACAGCAGCCTCCTTGAGGAGGGTGCCCTGGTGGCAGGGAGAGGCAGGGTGAGTGCTGAGCTCAGAGCAGCACCATCCCCTCCTGCCAAGGACAGAGCCTCTGCAGCAGACATTTGCAAAGCTCAGCTCAGCTGTCTCAGGCTACTCGTTTTGGCGACGCTATTGATAAATCCCTCATTACCAGCCTGTACCTCAGCACAGCGATATAAGATCCTGACAAATCTATATGGTTTTGAGGAGGGAAGAAAAAGAAAAAGAAAGAAAGAAATGCCTTTCCCTGCTTTAGTTTAAACTAGAGAAAGAGGGTTGGTTAGCAGGCAAGAAGCAGATGAGCAGGATTATAATGGAAACAAAGAGGGGAGCTGAGACTGCGTGATGAGCCCACAAGCCACCACATCACAGATGTCCCGGCCTCCTGGGCCCCGAGCTCCGAGGACAGACGGGGGTGTCTACGCAGCTCAGTGCTTCCCACATAGATGGTACTAGGCAAAAAACAATCAACAGGGGCTCGCCTAAGCTGACAATTTCGAAGGGCATTACTCAGTTTATTAACTGGGTCTCCTGACCCCTGGAGCCCACTAGGTAACCAGAGGCCCCATTGCTGTAGTAAACACCCGGCTCTGTGCCAGTGCAAGGGCACCAAGATGGGCCAAATTGGGAGGCTTTCCCTAGGGAAGGACAGACCCTGGGCCAAGGACACAGGATGCCCATGCCATGTGCTATGAGGATGTCCTAACAGAAGTCAGTGATGGTTGGGGCAGAAGCACAGAGGGGAGGACGCAGGGACCACAACATAACATCATCTGCAAAAGTGATAAAGGAGAGGACAGAGGGAGGCGGGGTGTGGGCCAATCCAGGCATTTCCAACAGCTATACAAAGCACAGCACCTGGAGGAGTACTAGCGGGGTAGGGAGCGGTGGCAGGAGGGTCTCTGGGAAGGGAGTGAGCCACCTGGGAACACGCCCTGCAAGTCTGGGTAAGGAATCTGGACTATATGGTACAGGCAGGCAATGGACTCCACCAAAGGTATTTCCAGAAGGTAATTCTCTGGAAGCAGAAGATCGGTGAGATGGGCCTGCGTTTAGGGCAGAAGGAATGCAAGTAGGAAATAAATTCAAGGGCTATTTATGAGTCAGAATTGACTTGATTTGGAAAACAACTAGACACAGGTGGTGAAGGAGAAGGAAGAGCAAAGGGTGACCCAGGTTTGAGGTAGAGTGGCCATCGGTGCGGTAGAGCCATTCACTGAGGGATGACTGGGGAAGGGAGAAGAGAGAGGGAACCTGTGCTCACTGGTGTCTAGTTTGTGCCGGCACCATGCTAGGCATCATGCAACACTATTTCACTTGACCCTTGCCACGGTTGAAGCTAGTGACCTGGCCTCGTTCATCTGAACTTCCAGGGGCTTCAGCAGCTCCTCCAAAGTCACCCAGCTAGTAAATGGTAGAAGGTGATGTGGGGTCACAATTGTCCATTTAACTACACCAGTTGAGGACATATTGAGCTTTAGATGCCATGCAGGTACAGACATTCAGGAAGCCATGGTGAGCATGTTTCTGATGCTCAGAGAGAGGACCAACCTGCAGGGAAGGGGGTTAAGATGCAAGCACAGAAGAGACGTGAGGCTGTGAACAGATGAGATTTCTGAAGGAATGTTCCCAAAAGGAGAAGAAAGCCCTGAAGTGGCATCACAGACGATGAATCACAAAGGGGCCTGAGTAGGAGCATTTAGGGAGACAGGAGGCAAGTCGGGGGTGGAGGGAGGGTGGTCTGTGAGGAAACAAAGGAGGAGAAAACTCAAGGACCAGAGGCCACGCCTGTCACATGTCACATGGATGACGACAATGAGACCTGAGAAGCAGTCCTTGCTTCGGCAATTATCATCTTTCTCCCGCCAACCTTCAGAATTCAGGATGGACTTGGGCATGTCCTTCTCTCTTGATAACTGTCCACAAGCCGGGATATGCCAGCACTTAGCACAGCTCTTGTGTGTGCATGTAGGACTCTTGGTTCAGTGTCTGGACACATCCACCAGACCGCCACCTCCAGGATGGCAGGGGGTATGTTGTGCTCATCACTACCATAGTTCCCCAGCACCTGGCACAATGCCTGGCACAAAGTGAGTGCTCAATAAATATCGGTTGAATACCTGGCTGAAGCCAGTTCTGTGCTTGCCCTCAATTGTCAGAAAGCACTGTCCCTGCCTCCTCCCCACGCCCTTACAAAGTCAAGGGCGCCAGGCTCTCTGCAGCCCCAGGTGACAAGCGGGCAGAGTTGCCGTGACAGCATTGCTCAGAGGCCGCATCTGACCTTGAGCCACCTTCCTTTCGGCTTGGCTAGGCACCAAGTCATTTACTTGTTTTTGCTGCCTTTCAACCCTGGGGCAGTGGATTTAGCACAAAGGAAGCTATGATTTTGTTTTGTCTGCGGAGCATCAATTTGCCCTAAATAAGAATGTAACTGGTAGTCTATACCGCAGGGTGGGAGAGGGACAAGGTTGAGAGGAACATGGTGGGGGTTCCGAGTCTATGCCCAGGTGTCTCTGAGCCTTTGAAAAACGTTTTTCCTACAAATACTGGCTGCAGGAGAAAGAGCATGACCTGGAAGGCAGGAAATGGGGTGAATCCCAGTTGAGGCACTAGCTGGCCATGTGGCCTTGGGCAAGTCACTCACCATGGTGTCATTTAATGTGTACCCTTCCTGGTCATCTCTGCTCACCTGCAAAATGTGGAGATGGCCTCAGCTCGCCTCCAGTGCCAGAGGGAGGGTGTGTGGAGGGAGGCCCCTATAAGCACAGACTGTCTTCCAGACCCAGGACAGCCTCTCAGAGCACGTGACCCTAGAGCAGGGTCCAGTATGTGCAGTGACATCTGGATCAGGATCCCTCTGGATGGGAAGTGGCTAAGGTCGAGGTTTGGAGCGCAGACTTTGGGGTTCTGCAGACCTGGGTGCAGTTTCCTCCACTGGGTGCCTGACCATGGGCCAGTCACTGAATTGTTTTTGAGCCTTGGTCTCCTCATCTTTCTAATGGGAATCTTCTAACCTAAGGGGGTCCTGTGATGCCTATAGGAAATCATGCAAATTAAGTGTTCAGTCTTGGGCCTGAGAATGAGCACAGTAAATCTTAGATGGTACAATCATAAATATTTATGGCTTAGACCTCATACATCATGAATGTCTCAAAAAAAATTAGAGATTATAGAGACCCTAGAGATCAAAGCCTCTAGTTGTTTATGAGGACACTGAGACCATAAGGGAGAGGAAGAGACTTGCCTTGAAACCTATGGGCAGGAATAGGGCCATGAGCCATGAAACGCAGCTCCTCCATGGGGTGACTCCTCATGCTCCATCCCTGGCTCCTACAAGGGCCATGGCTGGGACGACACCAGCTCCCCACACCCTCAGTGTGAGAACCCTGGTGTGTGGCTCCCCCAGGCTCCAGCTCCCCAACACTACCCCTCCTGGAACATGCTTCAGGTGGAGGGTCTGTCCACAGCAGGCATCGGTAGAGCCCCAGGCCTGACTTGACCCAGGTCACCTCTCCATTCTGGGCCTGTTTCCTTAAGTGGGACGTTATGATCATTAAGAGCCTCCAGTTCCAGCACGCCATGGCTTCCAGAACGGGGCTCAAGGAACCACAGACACGTGGCTGGAAACCTCAGGTCACCAGAATCTTTCCCAGAAGCTCCTTCCTTGGGAGACACAGGCAGAACCTAAGAAAGCATAGCCATGCGCTGTCCTTGTGCAGTTTTCCCCGTTTACCAAGGACTCGGGCCTACCTTGCCTCCTTGGCTACGTCCCTGCTGTGCCGAAAAGCAGACGGAGCCGCAGAGCAGCCTGAAGCTTTCTCAGAGCTCAGAACGAAGGGGGAAGGTCAGCATCTAGAACAGCGTGTGCATGGAACACACGCTCTGTACGACCCACCAACACGAAGCACAGGCCAAGGCTGAGAGCCCTGGACTGAGCCTGGAGGTCAGGACAGCACCTGCACTTGCCTGTCTCCTGCTGGCTGGGCCTGTTGCTCTGCTGTAAATGAGATGATCAGATGAAAGGCCCTGCTCCCAGCTGTGCTCCCACAGCTCCTCCCCCTCCTCTTCAGGGCACCCAGCAGGTGGGACTGGGATTTGCTTATGGTCTCCCTCCAGCCCCAGAGTCAGAGATACCGCCTATAAAGGCAAGCCTCGGATACTGGATACTGAGAGAGATACAACAGCAATAAACGTAAATCGTAATCTTTTTTGTTGGTGGAGGGTCTTGCCTTCAATTTGTAAAAAATACAACATCTTTCCCTGTCTGGTTTGGTTCAGTGGATAGAGCATCAGCCTGCGGACTGAAGGGTCCCGTGTTTGATTCCGGTCAAGGGCACATGCCTGGGTTGCAGGCTCGGTCCCCAGTAGGGGGTGTGCAGGAGGCAGCCAATCAATGATTCTCTGTCATCATTGATGTTTCTCTCTCTCTCCCTTCCTCTCCGAAATCAATAAAAATATATTTTTTAAAAAAACACAACATATATGAAGTGCAATAAAATGAGATGTGTCCATATTCATCATTATGTCCAAGCCCAAGCCCAGATCAAAACAGAACAAGCTATGGGCATGTTTACAGAATGGAGGGAAGAAAAGGAGAGAAGGAAGGAGGAGGAAAGGGAGGGAGGGAGAAAGGAGAGAAGGGGGGGAGGGAGAAAAAAGAAAGGGAGGGAGGAGGCTGAAGTCCCTCCCCCCAGGACTAACATTCTAAGATTCTACAAAACTAAGTTCTAAGGCAATTTATCAACAGTGTCCATCCGGCACGGCCGAGTTAGTGGTGGAAACATCACGCCGGAAGCAAAGGGAATGAATTTCAGCTGTGAAGTGACCTGTTGATCCCTCTCAGCTAGACACAGCTAACTTCCCCCAGTGCAGGCCCTGCGGGCACATGTGTGCGTGGGCTGCCTGGCTGGCCACGTGGGTGGTCCTGCCTGTGCAGATCCCTCGGTGATGCTGGTGTCCGGGGCCATGATGGGCTTCCTGCCGCCCAGCTCACCGTTTACTCGGTTCATAACCGAGCCTTACGGTTCCTGTTCAGGAACACGACATAGCGGCGTTGTGCAGTATTCAGGAACATAAAGAGGAACGGGTCTTATAAATAACTCCTGGTTAAAACAGAGCTGGAAATAAGGAGCCAGAAGAGGAAGCAAATCACTGAGCGCTTATGAGGCGGTAACATTGGCTTGAAAACCTTAGTGCAAATGGCTGGTCTGGTTTATGTTCTTCTCATCAAAAGATCAGATGCAGGATTGAACCCGGAGGCACCAAGACTGTGTGTGTGAAGATATGTATGAAACGGTGTGGCTCTCCTCAGCTGATGGGGTCTCTGCGAAGATCCTTACACAGGCCTCGCATTAGCTTTCACTGGTCACTTAATGGGCTCGGTCAGTAGGTGTAACCTTGGCTGATAAGTCTCTGGACCCCTCTGGGCCACTCTGTCTTCACAGGAAGGTCTGGTGGCTGAGCTGGCTGCTAAGCTCTGAGATTCTAGACAGCAAATCAGGGCTGAGGCCTTGGAATACAACTCAGGAGCCCAAAAGTCTGAATTAAATCTTGCCGTCTCTCTTCCATTCTCCATGGGGCCTTCCTTTAGCTGTGACAAGGCCAATACAGTGTGCTCTCTTTCTTGGATGCTAACATTGAGTGGAAATGTGCTTTATTCACGGGCAATCCCCAGCAGCATGCCACCGTGGGCCGGGCAGAGACACGGGGCCCAGACCAAGTCCCTGGATGCCCAGCACAGACCTGACTCTGCCCCGAACCCCACCCCTGTCTCCGGGCCCACGGGTGGGTCCCAAGCATGAAGCTGAACTACCAGGTAGTGACAGACAGCCTTCCAGCCAGACCTTCGCCCTGCCCTGCCCAGCGCAGAAGGGAAAGGAGGAGCAAGGGTCTGGGGGCCGGGCAGGCAGGGCAGCCAGCAAGCCCTCAGCAGCAGCTGCAGGTGCCCGTGTGCACGCGGAGGATGCCGCGGCTGTGCAGGTGCAGGAAGTTGAAGATCTCGGAGGGCATGGCGTGAAAGCCGGGGCGGGGCTTGACGTTGTCATAGTAGTGGTGAGTGATGTAGAGGCCCGCAGGGTTCATGGGGAAGGCCCAGAAGCCGAACAGGTGCACCTCCTCGCAGAGCTCCAGCGCGGCCGTGGCCAGGATGAGGCCGGTGCTGATGCGCTTGGCGCGCACGCCCAGGCTGAGCCAGTAGCGCGACACGTTGACCAGGTACTGCGGGTGGAAGTAGTAGACGGCCTGCGGCGCCTGGAAGTCGTCCAGCACGTACTTGACGCGGATGGACACGTCGGTGTTGCGCGTGTTGTAGAAGGCGGGCAGCAGCACGGACGCGTTCTCGTAGCCCTGCAGCACGCGGTAGAAGGGCCGCCGCCACTTCTCCAGCTTGTGGAACCTGGGTGGGCGCAAGCGAGAGGGTCAGCCACTGCGCCCTGAGCCCCTGGCCCCCAGGCCCCGGGGCCCCCAAGCCCCGCGCCCTTGCTTCTCCAGCCCTGCACCCTCGGGTCTTTCCAAAGGAGGGAGGGACTCTCGGGCCATCCCTGCCTCCTTTCATCTCAGTCACCTCAGCGAGGAATGCCTAGGCGTCCCCAGGACAGGTGTGTGTTTGTAAGTGAGTGCAGGAGAGGACAGTCGGGGCCCAAAGGGACAAATACCTAGTGTGTGGCTGCCAGGGGAAGGCAGTGCTGCACTCACATGGCCGGGGTGAGCTCAGTGGGATGGTGAGGGAGTGGAGGCCTTCCCTGGAGCCCTCGGGGCATTCACCTGTGGCTTCCCTAAGATCCCTAATGGATCTCAAACCAGCTGCTGATCTCTCTGCCTGCCCCTCTCCCCACACCAGCAGCCTCTCACTTATCTTTCCTTTACATTAAACAGCCCTCAGGTTGGCTCATCTCACAGGTGTCAAATGCTCCTTCACTCTGCTGACTGTCCCTGTTCCTGGGCCTCTGACCCAATTTAACAACTTCCCCTCCTTACCCTTCATCTGACCTGGATGGTGTGACTATGAAACAGAGGTGGAGTTTTAACACATGAACCTCTTCCCCTGAGGCCTCCCAGATAGATCCCCGGAGGGAGCCAGGTGGGGAGGAGATCTTTGCAGGAGGCTCCTCCCCAGTGTGACCTGGACATACTGCACAGGGAGTCGCCCTCCCCTCACAGACTGGGAGCTCTGACCCAGCACTAGGTGAGGACAGTCTAGACCAGCACTGTCCAAAAGAAATATAATGCAGGCCACATATATACTAGTAATTTTAAATGTTCTAGAAAGCACATTTAAACAGGGAGAAAATGGGTGCAATTAATTTTTATAATATATTTTATTTAACCTGATATACTCAAAAGGCTATCGTTTCAACATATAATCGATATAAAGATTTCATGAGATAGGGGCCATCCTCTTTTTCACGTTACATCTTGGAAAGGGGGGTGGTGACACTCACAGATGGCACATCCCACTCTGGTCTGGCCACACTTCAGTGCCAGTTGCCACATGTGACCAGTGGCTACCATACTGGACCCCACAGGTCTAGAAAGAGGGCCACTGACCTCTCTGTGATGATGCTGGGGTTCACGGTGACCACGTCCGTCTTCACCCCCACATCCATGGTGTACTTCTCTGAGATGGGGGGTAGGTTGCACCTGTGGAAGAGACGAGGCAGCCCGATGGCCTGTGGTCAGTCATTCCCGATGGAGCGGGGAGTGGGCAAGGGCAGGGGGCGGGGGAGGGATGATCACGTGAGAGAAGGATGCGGAGGCAGCCAACTGGGTGGAATCTTTGTGGCCTGGGAATGGAGGGGCCCATTCAACCATTTCCCCCACCAACCCTGAGCAGCCCAATAACTGAATCTACAATCCGAGAGCCCACTGCAGCCTCAGCCCAGGTCTCTGCTTTAATCTCTCATTTTCAGCCCATCTTCGTTATCCAGACTAAAGATGTAAGTGAGGGTCCCCAAGATAAGAGGGGCTCTACATAAGGAAGAAGAAATATAAGGACCAGTCTCTACCTTAGGCAAAGCCAGGGTGAAGTTCAAATTGGTGTTAGATACAAAGCTACCCTGGTTCCAAGCTTTGCTTCTGGAAGAGTAGAACACAACCAGGAAGGTGGCCACCCAGAGGCCTCACCGACCGATCTGCCTGGGGCCCCATTGAGTCCTGAGTCTCTTCACATCTGTTATGCCATTTGCTTCCATTATGCAGATGTGGAGACTGAGGCTCTGAGAGGTTCCACCATGTGCCCAAAGGGGACAGCACTAGAGAGAATTGACAACCTGGAGCATGAGGGTCTACAGGGGTGGGGAGTGGGGGATTAACCATGTAAAGGGCAGCATTGGGGGGGAGGGCAACCACGGGGAAGGGAGAGGGGTGGGGGCAGAAGTGGCAGGTGCAGACCAGGATGGTGCTTTTACCGGAAGACGAAGTCGGCGCTGTTGATCTCCCTCCCGCAGCGGCTGTTCTTGAGGATGCCTCCGTTGCCCACCACTGCGCACTTCTTAAACTGGGACCGGTAGTAGGGCATGTCCTGGGGAGACAGGTCACAGCCTTCATCGGGTGCTCTCACCTCCGCACCCCCCTCCACCTCTACTCCTCCTGGACCTATGAGGCAGCCTTGTAGGGAATGTTAGAGAAAAGGGGTTATTCCACTTTGCAGGTGAGAAAAGAGGTCAGGTTTGTCCTCAGTTCCACAGGCAACTACAAATGGGCTGGGGCCAGAAGCCAGGTCTCCATGGCCATTTTCAATAAGCCCCGGGGTGTGCTAGGTTTCCGGCACGCAGAGAGGACAGCCCTGCTGGCCTTCGGTTTCCCCATGTTTGGAGGATCAGCTTTTCACAGCCGCTAGTGCACATATTTTAATGATGAATGCAGATGTTCTGGGGATGGCGGCAGCAGAAATGAGGGCAGGGCCACCCTGGGACCAGAGCCCTAAACCTCAGCCCTTTCAGCTCAGGGCGAGATGCAGAGCCGCCCTCTGTCCACGAGGAGGACACAGGCCTGGGACAGAAAGGTCATATAGGCTGGGACAGATGCCAGGACTTGGCAGCAGCGGGGATAGGAGACGAGGTGAGCAAGCAAGGCCACCTCAGGGGAACAGTTAGAGGCTGGCACACCCAGGGAACCTAGGACTTACCCTGAGTGAGGATGACAGTCACAGGAGCACTGGAAGTGAGCATCTCACAGCGCTTTGACCTGGTCACACCTCAACTGGAGGTTACCTTGGTCTGGGTACTGGCTGCCCACAAAGGCACTCTCGGCATGCCCTCCAGGGGGCCACGGGAAAATTGGCAGGAAAAAGCAAATACTGGCCTGACACTTAAGAGACCTGCTTCTGTCATATTCCCTCATGGGCCACGTGAAGCAGGTGCCACAGGGCAGGCACACAGACCTGGAGGCAAGGGCAGGGTGACCAAACATCCCAGCTGCCAGGACTGGCAGACTTTGCCAGGGATGCAGGATTTACATTTGGTCAAACTGGCAAAGTCTGGGCAAACCAGGATTGGGCCCCCTCATCATAAGCCCAAAATTCAATCTTGGTTTTGCCCTATAATGAGGTAAGGGCAAGTTTTTTGAGCTCCCAGTGTTTTGGTTTTGTAAATTTTATGCAATGTGTTATAAATTAAAATGTTGTAATTTGTGTACTTCGTTGCTGCTCAATATGATATAAAGCAGGGCTTCTCGCCTTGGCGCTGTCATGCCTTGTTGTTGGGGTTAACCTGTACACTGCAGCATCCCTGGCTTCACCCCACTAATGCCAAGAGTGCCCCCGAGTCATGACAACCAAAAATGTCTCCAGGCATTGCCAAATGTCCCCAAACCGCCCCCTGTGGAGAATCACTGGTGTCAATGAAAAGCCTACCAGTGCAGGGCCCCGGCCCAGAGGGGTCTCGGCAAGGGGACCGGGTTGTTATTGGATGGCCCGAAGGTCCCCTCCATCTCGGACAGCAGGAGGCTGCTGGGCAGCTGTCCTCCCAGCACACACCAGCTGGCCAGCCTGCAGGAGAGCGGCCCCGTCAGCACCTTGGGCTTCCGTTGGGACCAACTTCCAGGCAGGCGTCCTGGAAAAATCACACTACAACAGGCTCATCGGGATGCGGCTAAACCTAAGGAGATGCGGCACGTCTGTGGGAGACTGTCCTTCCTCGTGGCCCATTCTCCCTGGAGGGACAGGCCCAGGGGGCCAAGGTGGGGAAACAAGGGTGTCTCATGACCAGTGGGGGAAACGGCATTGTTTGATTTTTACCAGAGAAACAGAAAACACCAATCCTCTTTGGAGAGACCATGGAAGGCTTTTTTATGTTGTATGTCAGTGTTTCCCAAACTTCTGTAAATCAAAAACTACCTGAGTTCCTGGGCTCCTTCCCAGAACCACGGAACCAGAATCTTCAGGGTGGAGGTAGGAGGCAAGAAGCTCTATTTTTTACAAACTCAAAGAGATATGCACTTTTAGGAAGTGTGGGAAATACTTCTGTGTCACGTGCTCTAGTTCAGGGGGTCACAGATTACAGCCCCGCAGGCCACATCTGACCTATCACCTACTTCTGCATGGCCTACAATCTAAAAATGGATTTTATATTTTGTAATAGTTGGAGAAAAATCCAAAGAAAAATATTTTGTGACATGTAAAAAGTATATAAACAAATGTCAGCGTTTAAGAGGAACTGAAGAGCTATTGGAGCAGGGCCACGCTCACTGGTGTATTCACAGCCAGGCGGCTTTGTGCAAGGACGAAGGTGAGTAGCTGTGAGAGAGACCAGATGGCCTGCAGAGCCTAAAATATTTATTTTCTGGCCCTTTCCAAAGAACCTTTGCCAATCCCTTCTCTAATTCCTGGGCCTCAGCAGCCCATGCCCATGGCCCTCCTTGGACCCATATGTCATAACCGAGCTGTGTGTCACCCACTGGCATTACCTGTGTGAGATGCAAGTTCACCTGCTGTCAACCTCATGTTCCAGGCCTTGCAAGACCCACCTCGCCAAGATGGCTCACACCCCATGTCCTCCAGCACTGTGACCTGAGAAAGGACGTCTGGCACCTCCAGCTCCTCCCGGTGCCCCCACAAGGCCCAGTCTTACCAGGACACCCTGCCCGAGTAACAGAAAGCAGAGAAGCCCTGGGCTCTCTTTCATCAGCACTCAGCTCAGGCCCTCGGACGTCATCCAGAAAGACCTGAACACACCCCAACCAGTTTTTCTACAAACTGGGCTCAAGTCCTGCCCGGAGCCCAGCACTCTCCAGGAGGTGCTCATGTCCCATGGAGCCTTCCTCCTCTCGGTGGTTACCCTCAGAATCAGCTGAAAACACAGGCAGGCTCGGGGCCCCTTCTCTGAGAGTCTGAGGCGGCAGTCAGGCCAGAAGTGAGTGCATGTACCTAAGCCGCAGTGACCTGAGCAGTTCGCACACATGGATCCTCCCCTGTGGTCCCCATGACCAGGGAGCCACGGTGCTGGCCCTGGACGGATGGCCACCCCCAGATCTCTTGCATGTGAAATGAAAAAATAAACGTGTATCTTCTTTAAGACTCTGATATTTTAGATTTTCTGTTATAAGCAGCCAAACCCATTCCAGTCCAAACCCCATGTTACAGATGGGCAGACCGAGTCTTTGAAAAACAAAACGACCACCTAAGGTCATCCAATACAGACCCCTCTTTCAGTGCCGTGCTTTGCATTGGTTGATTTCTTGTGCACGCACAGCCTTCGCATGGAGGTTTTTGCTCTTGTGCCTCCCCTGGGTGGAGGACAAATGCTTATCTTCAGGATGTCCTCTACCAGCAATGCAACAGCCAAAATTTTATAACCACATTCTTGCCAGAAGTCACCCAAATAATAGCCAGTTGTCATTCATCATGCCAGACAGAACCCCAGAAGACATTCTACTGAGCCTCAGAGCATGGCCAACCAGGGCCAGGACTGGGTGCAGAGGGCACAGCAGAGCACTGCCAAGCCACTAGGCATGGCTACAGAGGGCCCGGCTAGATCGGCTCCACTGCCCCGCCCAGACCGCCCTGCCCAAAGCAGCACCTTGGGAAACATGCGGAAGATCTCCTGGTTGATGTGGTAGATGCCGCTGGTGTCCACCTCGTACTTGAGCTTTGTCCCCAGGGGCGTGTTCTTCTGGGTGGTGAAGAGGAAGGAGGGGGCGTTGCAGCATCTGGACAGAGTGGACCTGCGGGCAGGAGACAGACGGGAGACAATGATGACACGAGACAGAGCAGAGCCTCTTGAAGAACAGAGGCATCAGGACATGGAGGCCCCTCGGGGAGGCCAGGGAGCCCCACTTTCTCCCACCTCCCCCTTCCCACCGCACAGCTTTCCATACTCCTCCCAATGCCTGGGCCTTCGGGTGGGAGCCAGGTTTCTTTCTGTCCCCACTGACCACATTGGCCTCCAAGGGTCCCACCTGCTTCCTCGTCCGCCTCCTCCCTCCCCACTTGAATGACAGCCCCCAATGTCAGGGACCTGCTTCTCCGGATCCCACATGTCAATCACACAGGTGCTTGACAACCAGGTGCCTGCCAATTGTGGGACAAATCATTCCTCATCTGAGCTTCCATTAAGGTCTGCTAAGCTTTCTGCTACTTCCTGGAAACAGGCCAATGGACATGGAAACTGAGTCCTCATGGAAACCCGGGGATGCAGAGCCCTTCCTCAGGCCCTCGGCCCCTGTATCAGACTCTAGACAAGGCATGTTCCCTGTAGGATGGGGCCCAAAAGCCAAGACACACAGTCAACAGAAATGTACTATTTCAATCATTTAGAAAGTGGTTTAGGAATGGGGGGGGGGGCGGTCAGAAATTGGGGACGGTGAGTTGATACTGGATGACATCCTGCAGAATGGATCTGGCTGCCAAAACAAGTTTCCAGGAGTTCATTATTTAATTTTTAAAATAATTAGAACCTGTGGTTTTTCACTCACAAAAACACTCAGATATGAGCTCCCAGAAGGGTGGACACTGAGACGAGGTAAGCAGGCTTAAAACACCCTCGGAGGGAGAATGTGGCTGCTGAGGCCAGCCTGGGAGTCAGCCAGCCACAGAGCCTGGTACTTCTCTTCCCTGTGGCTGGCATCCTACCGGCGGGGCATTCTCCCAGGCCTGCTGGTGAGGCCTGGTGCTGGGTCAGATCCTAGGCACACTCTGCTCCCCCTGCCCTGGCTGCAGAGGGGCCAGGCTTGACAAAGGATGCAAATTGCTACCCACTCCATTAGGGACTGTGGGCCCTGGAGGACATGCTTTCTCCTAAAGCAGCAGGAGTGGGCTGGGTCCACCTGGCCTTCTTCCCCTGACACTGGCTCTAGGCCAGCCGTGGGCAAACTATGGCCCGCGCCGGATCCGGCCCATTTGAAATGAATAAAACTAAAAAAAAAAAAAAGACCGTACCCTTTTATGTAATGATGTTTACTTTGAATTTATATTAGTTCACACAAACACTCCATCCATGCTTTTGTTCCGGCCCTCCGGTCCAGTTTAAGAACCCATTGTGGCCCTCGAGTCAAAAAGTTTGCCCACCCCTGCTCTAGGCACAGTCACATCCGGTGCCCAGGCAGCCACAGGAGGAACGGAACACCTTCTCCATGGAACCCGGATGATGACCATTAACTAAAATGGAGGAGGAGCTCTCTGGAAAGTTCACACCCAAGGTCCCGGATGGACACTTGGCTTGCCAACCTGGTGTCAAAAAGCCTGGGTTCTAGTTTCTGCTCGGCCCCCACCAGTTGTGGGGCTTTGGGCAGGTCTCTTGCCCTCGCTGGGCTTCAATTAATTTCCTTATCTGTACAATACAGGGCTGGCTCTTCTGACCCTCTGTAATTCCATGACTCCAGGTTGCCAAAGCCAGGAAGGTTATACAAATACTTGTTATGACTTTATTCTTGCAGACACTTCACTGGGGAGTTCAGCTGGCTCCTGGTTATGGAGACCATTCTTTCCTGTGGAGGGTTGGGTTTCAGAATGCGACTGAGGCTTCCCCAAGGGAAGGCCAGAGGCCTGGCCAGGCAGGGGCCATGGGTCAGCATGACAAACCCGCATCTGGGCTGTTTATTTTTGTTGGTCCGGAAACTCGATCTTATCAGTCCACTGGGGAGTACCCCATTGCAGGAGACTAACTCATGCTCACCAAACTCACAAGTGCCTGATGTGTAAACCAGAATGCCAGTGTGTTTACTTTGTAAGCAGTAGGGTGAGGGAAGGCCTCCATTACAGGATTCCTTTTCTGTAGCTAGAATGCTCATGCCTGTCTTCTAGTATACTCACCCTACTCTCCCCCCCCCACCACACCCCACACCCCTACCCTGCACACACACACCTCATTTTACCAGATTCCTGTGAACCTGAATTGAGAATCTTATTATTGTTCCATGAGCTTGTAATAAGAGCAAAGGGAAACGATGACTGGCCTTGAAGGTTTTTCCTTTTAAAGCATGGCCTGACCTGATGTCATCCCCGCTTCCCACACCTGAAACCACCCCCCACTCCCATCTCAGAAGGGTCTCAGTTACCCCAGGGCTTATGATCTGTAAGCCCTCAGAGTCTCTCCCCCACAAGCCGCTGGCTGATCCCTCCCAAAAAGCCCTACGCCTCTCTCTGTTTTCCTCCTGCCACATTATCTTCCTGGTGCTTATTATTATTATTATTATTATTTCTTTATATTGTGAATCCCACTGATGAGGCTTCTGTCCACTCAGCCTGGACAGCATCCTTGTGCATCTCCCTGACCTGGCCACTCCCTCAGGGCTCTCGAGCCGCACCCACCCTGAGGGGTTATCTGCCTGTCCAGTCCCCACAGTAATCTCTCTTTCTACGGGTGGATTGGGCAGCACGTAAAGCCAGACCTTGGACCTCCCCCCTTCTTCCTTTACTTGTCTCAAGTTCACGTTCTACTTCTATAGTAGGTGATTCTCAAAGGCTGGAGAACTTTAAGCTCCGGGAGCTTATGATCTATAAATTTTGGTTAGAGAGCCGTGAGAAAATCACCTACAGCAGCACTCAAGCATTCAGGATAGGCTATAACAGCGGTCGCCAACTGGTGGTCCATGAGGTCCAAAAGGTTGGCGACCGCTGAGCTATAAGAACTCAAGAGCTCGGAGGAGGGGATGCTGGGCTGGAGGTGAGGAGCGGAACGGGGTGGGGCCATGAATGGTGCTTAATGTGCCTTAACGCATAGGCCTGCTAGAGACCTGAAAATCACTTCATCTCGGTGAGTCTCAGTGAACCTCGGCTTTACTGGAGACGACACCACTGACTTTGCAGGGATGCTGCAGGGTGAGAATGGAGGACAGCACCCAGCAGGTGCCGCCTAAGCCTGCGTGCTGA